GAAAGCAGGGAGGGGAAATGGGCAGGAAGAGGAACCTTCCCCCACCCTCCACCCGCCACGTGCGCGAAGACCCCAGAGCCCAGCGACTCCCCGAACCACTCGCCACGTGTCCAAGCCAAAGCTGACGTGTTTCATCCGGGCGCCGCCCCCTCCCAGGCTCCGCCTGGGCCCCCCACACCCCTCACCGTGTAGTGTATGTGAAGCGTGTCTCCAAAGGCAGCAGACTCCGCACACGGTTCGGGGGGCTCCACCTATGATCGGACTGCAGGAGTCATGGAGGGTCCTCCAAAGATCCCGTTCTTGCCCCTAAACCCCACACCCCCAACTCAGTAGCCCCCGCACTTCTCCTCCCGGCTCGCAGGTTCTCTTAGACCTGTATTCGCGCTCAAGACCTGCCCCGCGGACCGCGGACCGGACAGGGACCACCTCCTCACCAGGGTCTCCACTTGGAGGGCTCGGACAGGACTTTCGGTTTCGAACCCCGTGTCAGCCTGGGACGCCGCCCCGCTGAGCAGCAGCAGCAGCGGCAGCAGACAGAGCGGGAGTCGTGGCGGGCGCAGGGTCATGACTCCACACGGTGCCAGGCGCAGGACCCCAGGACCGGCTGCCGGTGTGGCGGCGGCTAGAAGAGCGGTTCTCTCAGCGCCCAGGCTGGACGGACAGGACGGGGCGGGTGGAGACACACCAGCCCCTCCTCCTGCCGCCCATCCTCCACCTTGTCCCCGCCTCCTGGGGGCGGAGGCCACGGGGAGCCCTCCCTACCCTCTAAGAACAGAGGTTTGGATTCTGAACCGGTTGGTCAGTTCGCGTACTGTCCCGCAGTGAGGGCCTGGGACACACAACACCCATTATTAACCTGTGTGGCAGGCACTCGTCTGTAATCCTCAAAACCACCCCGAAAGGTAGCCAGAATGGTTTCCATTTTACAGATGAGAAACTGGGTGCCCAGGTTAATTTGCCCAAGGTCATCTAGCTTGGTGGCGACAGGGGCAGAATTCAAACCCAAGACTGCCCGAGTCCAGCTTGTTTGCTTTCTGATTTTGCCAACCACACACAGCTCCTCACACCTATCCTGGCAGTGTCTGGCTGGCCCATCCCTCCCCAGCAGTTGTCAGAGGCAGCATCCCTCTCCCACCTCCCCCCTTCCAGTTGGAATTTTTGGAGGTCTGACATCAGGTGATCCTGCAAGTGTTTTCATCTCTGCCCAGTCTCATGCTAGGCTCTTCCTTCACCTGTCAGGCTCACTTTAGACCAGCAGTTCCCAACATGGGGCACATGCCCCACAGGGGGGCAATTTGATTTTTAAGGGGGGCAATTTGAGTTATTAACTGAATTTTTTGCATTTCTTATGGTTCTAGGGGCCTCATATACAGTATATAAATGTGACATATTTATGCATTTCAGTTCTCTATTGTTTCGAAACTCTGCTATTTTTCATATCACTTCACATTTTTTTTTTTAACTACTACTTAGTGATTTCTTCCTCACTACTTCAACTGTCCTTTTGTTCTTTTATTTTTCTCTTTCATGGATGCCATGTTCTTTGGATGCTTGTTTAGACCAAGTTAATGGCCTTTTAGGCTTCTTCCACATAAACAGGAGTTCACTTTTTGAATAACAATTATATGTCACGGGGGAGGGGGGGCATCAGGATTTTAGAGATGCTTAGGTGGGGCATGGCCACAAAAAGGTTGAGAACCACTGCTTTAGACCAAACTCAAATATCACTGATTCCGAGCTAGAAGTGGCTTATTTCTGAACTTCAGGCATACACTCAGGGACATTACTTTTCCTTGTGTTGTGGTAATTTGTGTACTAGAGGCCCAGTGTCTGAAATTCGTGCACTGGGACGGGGAGAGTCCCTCAGCTGGGCCTGTGACCTCTCGCAGTCCAGGAGCCCTCGGAGGATGTCCGACTGCCGCGGAGGCTACACTCGCCAGCCGTGAGCCTGGCTTCTGGCTGAGTAGCAGTCGTTCCGCCGTCTGGTTGGATTTGCATATTAGCCTTTATTATATAGGAAGGATGCCTCCCTCCTCTAAAGCAGGGGTCCTCAAACTTTTTAAACAGGAGGCCAGTTCACTGTCCCTCAGACCGTTGGAGGGCCGGACTATAGTTTAAAAAAAAACTATGGACAAATTCCTATGCACACTGCACATATCTTATTTTGAAGTGAAAAAACAAAACGGGAACAAATACAATATTTGTATTTGCATGTGGCCCGCGGGCTGTAGTTTGAGGCCCCCTGCTCTAAAGAATCAGCACACTGATGGCAAGGACAAGACTGTGACCATGTCTGGAGTCCCCTACATACTAACTGAACAATACCCTCCATAAAGACTCTACACAAATGTTTTATTTTGAGTAACTATACATACAATACTAAAAAGAAAAAAAAAACACCAAAAACAAAGACCTAACTATACTAATATGGAAAATCTCAAGCAAATGTATACATTAGGTTTTTAAATGCAAGAGTAATGGATGTGATGAGCCCCTTTATATTTTAACCTTTCTCCAAATATGTATAGTATATTTAGAAAAGGAACTATAAGTATATTCCCTTTGGGGATGGGAGAAGAGTAGAGGGGAACAGGTTCCACATGTTGCACTATACATTTATATACTGTTTGGATGTTTTACAATAAAAATTACTGTTATAAAAATTTTTAAATTAAATATTAAATGAATTAACAACATATGGTCCTGCGTTACATAATGATGTTTCAGTCAACAACCGACTGCATATTCAATGGTGGTCCTGTAAGATTATAATTTCTACAGCCTAGTGATGTCATAGATATGGCAGCTGTCCTAATGTCATAGTCCAGTGCTTTACTTGTGTTTGTGGTGATGCTGATGTAAACAAGTCGCCTGTACTTCCAGGCATATAAAAGTAGAGCACAGACAATTATGTACGGTACATACTTGATAATGATAATAAATGTTACTGGATAATGTATTTACTACACTATACTTTTTACCATTATTTTTATTTTTCAAATATATTCTTGATTTCAGAGAGGAAGGGAGAGGGAGAGATAGAAACATCAATGAGAATCATTGATCAGCTGCCTCCTGTACACCACACAATGGGGATCGAGCCCACAACCAGGCATGTCCCCTTGACCAGAATTGAACCCAGGACCCTTCAGTCCACAGGCCAATGCTATATCCACTGAGCCAAACCATCTAGGGCTACCATTATTTTAGATTGTGCTCTTTCTACTTATAATAAAAGCTTGTGTAAAACAGTATGCTGTTACACCAATAGCAGCCTCAAACATCTGGTTACTGTGGTTTTTCTTATTGCATTACATTCTCTTGTACTTGATTTAGTTTTGTATTGTTCTGTACAGCAACATACTGTACAGGCTTGTAGCCTAGGAGCAATAGGCTACACCATATAGTCTATTAAGCGGCACATGACTGCATAGCAATAGAAGGGAATGTGTGGGAGGTGTTGAATGAGCTGTGCTAACAAAGCTAAAGGAGCCAGACCAGGGGGGGAAAAGTCCTTGTGATTAGATCATAGGCAGCTCTGAAGACTTTAAAGGAAAGTGGTATTTTTAAACAAGAGAGAAAGAGGATAAAGGCAGAGGGCCAGATATTTGGGGGAAATGAATGGACCAGTTTGGCTAGAAAATGGGATTTAGCCAGGAGAGTAGAGGTAGTAGGAGAGAGAAGTACGAGCTGGTTATGGAGAGCCTTGAATGTCAGAATGAGGCAGTGGGAACCCACTGAAAGTTTTTGAGCAATGGGGTAACAGTGCATACTGTACTATGTGTATCAGCTGATTGGAATGGTGTCATGAAGGAGGAAGACTATTACCCAGTCTGAGGCTTTGTTTGGAATCCGAAGCAGAAAGGGAAGTGGGGGTGAAGTGAAGAGAGTGGTAGTGGGAAAGGAAAGGACAAAAACTAAGACAACAATATCACCAAAAGAGGGCAGCGCAATAAGGCACTTTCTCCTTGGATCAAATTAGGAGGAACCTGAAGGACAGAGAAAGGTGAGATGGTTCTGGCCCAGCCCTGACTGGATGCACAACTTAATCAGAGAACCACTCCTAGAAAGGTCTCTACCCTCAAAGGTGTCTCTGTTGGCAACTAGAAGAAATTCTACCTCAGCCCCCTGATTTCCAAAATTCATGGGGTACCCACCGTGCCCAGCTTGGTTAAGGACAATGTTTATTCATTCATCAAAGATGAGTGCTATGCCCAGCTGGTGTGGTTCAGTGGTTGGGTGTCGACCCATGAATCAGGAGGTCACTGTTCGATTCCCTGTCAGGGCACATGCCTGGGTTGTGGGCTCTATCCCCAGTAAGGGGCAGGAGAATGAGAGAGAGAGATAGAAACATCAATGATGGGAGAGAACCATCGATCGGCTGCCTCCCGCACGCCCCCCACTGGGGATTGAGCCCGCAACTCAGGCATGTGCCCTTGGCCGGAATCGAACCCAGGACCCCCCAGTCCGCAGGCCGACACTCCATCCACTGAGCCAAGCCGGCCAGGGCAAGGTACTGCTTTTAAAATGTTTTTTTATGTTTATTTTAAACAGACTGTTAATAAATAGTCTGTGAGTCCCGACCGGCAAAACAAGCAATGGGGCATCTTGTTTTTGCCTATGCCAGATCTTGCATTTATGGGATGATACCTCCCTGGCTAAAACAGCCAGAGGGGAGAATGGAGAGGGAAGTAACACATCATTCTTGGATGAATGAATGCATAGCAATACCTAAAAAGAAAATATCTAGTTCCCTGACCGGGTGGCTCAGCTGGTTGGAGCATTGCCTCGTACAAATAAAGGTTGCAGGTTTGATCCCTACATTCATTTAGTATCTTGTGTTTCCAGACCTGTGCTGCCATACAGGAGGCAGCGGATGTTTTCCTCTCACATTGATGTTTCTCCCTCCCCTCGTCCCCCCTCTGTGAAATTAATAAAACATATCCTTGGGTGAGGATTAAAAAAAAATCCTGGCCTGGCTTGAGTATCCACTCTACTCCACCACATCCAGTTCTGAAGCCAGATTTGCTCCTAGAGTCCAGATCCTCTCTTCTGTGGCCTATGGCCAAAGTGATACACAAGCAGATACCCACCTCTTCATGGTGAACAGTCCTGATCCAAGTTCCTCACTTCCTGACTTCCAACCACTGCCTGCAGTGGCACTGCTCCCTTTACTGTACTCAAGGTTCAGATTTCCTCAGACCTAACCCTTTTCTCGGAACTCAGGGTCATGCTTACCCCCATCCCAGCAAACAAGGCCAGGAAACTCATTAAGAAAGAGGAAGTAAGTCATCTAGATCCTATCACTCCCCAGTAACAAGCATCCTTCCAATCACCAGGTTAGAAAGTAGAGAAGTGGACTTTGGCCCTCCTACCTCAACATCCTTCAGAACTGGAAAACTCTGTTCTTAGTATTATTACCACCTGCCCAGAGACACCCCTCCCTGCACCAAGCAGGAGCAAAAGAAAGGATACCCCCTACATAGTGATCCCCAACTGTCACTACCCCATGTGGTACACTGTGGATATCCCAAAGGATTCCAGAGCATCCCAGAAGTGGAGTCCCAGGTCTTTCCCTGAGTACAGTGGTTTGATTCCATTCTTAGCACAGGTCTGGAAACTGAAGGTACTAAAATGAATACCTGTCAATTTTCTGCTCTGACCAATCTAGACACTTGGACTGGAAGTGATGCAGTGAATACCCAGAGCCTTCAGGCCTTAC